TTTGGTGGGAAAGCGATCTCGGGAACCACACGAGCTAAGGGGCTGAAACTTTGTAGGGATATTCCCCGAGCATAATAGCTGAAGATTTTGAACTCAGCCCCTAGGCTTGCGTAGTACTCATGTAAGGGTGTATGAAAGTTTTCGCGGAAAAATTGCTAACTCGGCAACCAGGAAAGTTGGAAGGCTGAATTTTAGGGGGATGTTCCCTATTCAAGTATAACTCAAATATTTCAAATCCAGCCCCAGGCTGTACGTGGTTCTAACGTACGGGCACTTTAAAGTTTTAGCGGAAAAGTTTCTCACTGAATAGCTAGGTTACTTTTAAAGAACTATCGTTAAATGAAAGTTGCGCATTTACTTTATGCATGATTTATAGTGATTTATGCTAGTAATCGCAAAAGGTAGATGTAAGGCGACAAATATTCATGCAGTTAATGACCTAGTTCAAATCCGGTGCAAAAACGCATGATCGCACGGGTCCGCCCGGTGCGTTCCAGCCTGGATTGCTGGCTGCAGCAGTGCGGTAGCGCTGCACAGCAAAAACGCATAAAAACTGCCAGGGTTAAATAGCACCGTTTGTGGGATAAGAGGGTGCGATTACTGTTTCCACATGCGCTTATGCAAGCACGCTGATGGATCATAAACAATAGCATTCTCTCTGCTCTAGTTATGGTGTGGCAAAATGGTAAGCTTCAAAATGCACACGTCCTAAGTGAAATGTCTGAAAACTTGAATGTTGTTTTTACGTAGCTTCATTCATTTGTCCAAATTAGGGTCGTAAGGTATGCTTAGGAAATTTCTGCACTCTTGCTGCTTTAGTTTCGGAGTTACTAAACCGTCTGCTTCAAATTTCATATGCTCTTATGTGGGATATAAGAGGCACCAAATTTCATTTGCTTTTACGAGCAAAGTAGCATCAATTTACAACTTTTAAGAGTTTTTTAGAAAGTTAAATCCTCATGTTAGCAAGACACTAAAAATTTGTAATTTGAGACCTGGAGGATCGTGAAAGCTGAATTTAAATTCGTTGGGTCGCAAACGGGCAAGAAACATCTTTGTGAAGTTAATATTAAATGCAAATACCCTAGGTCAAGAAGGATTGCGCACCCATGAAACGTCAAAGATTTCATGCTGACAGACCTTGCGATCCTGACACTTTGAATTCAGTTTAATCAGCAGCTCAAATTTCAGAATGCAAAAAGGCGTAAGCTCTTAGGCAATGTGCGTGCTTTTCTCAAATAGTCGTTAGGCCTGTTTTTTTTGTGATTTAACTGCAATGGAATTTTCAGCTTTATATCTACTGGCATTGGTACTGGCATGTGGAAGCGATGTGGAACTCGGCACGCAAGCTGCGCAGCGGTCGAGGCATCACACGCACTTCTAGTTACCCGTGCAAACGTACTTTATTCAAGCATGCTGAGGAGATCACGCCGCTGCAAAACCCGGATCGCCACCAGCAAGTACTACCACATCGTACCGACCAAACACATGCATCCTTATCTACTGCTGCTGCACGCCAGCACACAGTCCCAACATCGGCAAATCCAGAAACAGCAGCTGCAGACAACGCTGGCTGCTCTTATTATCGGTCGCAACAGTTGGAATTACCTTCGAAGCCGTATCGTAAGAGACCTTCGAGGGCTCTACTGAGGCATGAAAAAGTACTGCTGACGGAAACAGAAGAGGAGAGGAACGGGAACAATAATCAATGCGATATCGAAAATAATAATAATTTGCCTCAACCTCATCGGGCTCCATTAATCAACGGATACTTGCATACCAAACCAAAGCAACAGCACGGGACAGAAACGCTACCGCTTTCTGGTCGAAGTCGCTGGAGAAGTCCCATTTATTGCTCGTCGCTAGGTTCCAACTCATCCGAATCAGTCCAAGTGCGAAAACCATGTGGTTACGTGGAAATATCACGGAAAAATTTCTCAAGACGCTTTGGTGGATTACAGCGAAAGCCATTGGTCAGACAGCCTGCTGAGCAATACTTCTCCGTCGAAACATCACCACGAAGGCATTGCTCTAACTCAGCTGCGCTAGGATACGATTTTGTCAACGATTATATATTCTACTCACCTGGAAAACGCACCGTTTCATTGGCAAAACATCCTGACTGGATCGGTTAAAATACGTCTGTCCGAAGTTTCGCGTCTTTCTAGCTTTGATTATCGTTAAAAAGGTACGCTTTTTTCGAGGCTGTCTTTCCGCACTCACTGATTCTGTATTAGTGTGTTTAGCATGTTTGATGCAGTGTAAAAATGTCTACTGAGGAGTGGTTGTATGTGTATGCATATGCACATATGTTTTTGTGCGTTTTCGCGTATATACAAGTGCAAAAACGCATATTGGCAAAAGGCTGTGTGTGTGTTTAAGTGTATCACCCCCTTTCAACTCAAAAACCAGAAAAGCTAGAAGGCTGAAGCTTCGGGTTTATGTGACTACACCATCTCCCCCTCCGTTTTAATATCATCACCGGCGTAGACTTGAGTGCCGCGTACAGAAGTATTAAAAAATATGCAAATTTTTTGGTAGGAGTGCAATTTCAGAAACCAGGAAGATAGAGAGCTACGACTTTGCAGGGATATTCACTACGCACGTTTGAGTTAAAGATTTCAAAATCAGCCTCTAGTCAGCTTGGTATAGATATGCGAAGGTTTTGACGGGAAAATTATTAGCCCGAGAACCAGAAAAGCTAGAAAGTTGAAATTTTAAGGTAATGTTCCTGTCTAAGTACAACTTAAGTGTTTCAAACTCAGCCTCCAGATATGAATGGTTTTCACGTGCGGACTTAGAAGTTTTGGCGGGAAAGTTGCTCATTGAACAGCTAGGTCATTTTCAAGGAACGACCGTTAAAAGGAAACGGTTCATTTCCTTTATGCAAAACTTCTAAGTCCGCAAAACGGTTCATTTATGCAAAACGGTTCATTTCCTTTATGCAAAATTTACGATAATTTGAGCTAGTGAGCGTAAAAGATAGGTGTAAAGCAACAATTCATGCAGTTTGCGACCTGAGTACTTCAATTTTGGTGTAAAAACACATGGACGTACCAGTAAGCCTGGTGCATCTCAACTTGGATTATGTATGCATGCATATGGGTATATATGTCACTTATGAAATGTATGCATATTTGCAAACTCATCAACCAGAGAAGCTGGAAAGCTGAAACTGTTGGTGCACATTTCATCCTACATGCAATCCGGCCAATTTAAAATCAACGTTCGTACATGCCTGAGCTCCATATTTGAATGCCTAGAAGAAAACTAGAAAATGTTATGGCGGAAAAAGATTTCAAGACAGATAAGATGGGGAGCTGAGACTTCACAAGGATATTATGTGCCTTTATGTGAGCTAAAAGTTTCAAATTCAGGTTTAAAGCAGGCATGCATGACACATACGAACTATAAAAGTTGGAGTCGAGATATCGCCGTCAGAATGTTAACTCGGGAACAAGGCCGAAAAAGAAAGCTTTGATTTTACGAGAACACGCTGTCCGACTGCAAGGTCGCAAACCTAAAACAAGCCACATAAAACAGGTTTACACCGAACCTAGCGTGCCAGGTACGTAAAATATGTTTTTGAAGGCAAGCAATTTTGGAAACTTGAAGCTGAACGTTGATGTGCGACTTAAGAATTTCTAACTCATTAGACCTTTTTTATAGCAAAAAAAGGCATACATCGTAGATTTTGGAGGTATGATTTAAGTAAGCATTAAAATGCCAGGAGACTGGTCATTGGGCGATGCAACGTATCCTTCTTCTTTCAGTTTTATTTATTAATTTTCTTCCTGTTTACAACATACACAGCTGACAAGGTTTACTGTGGAGCTGAAAAGAAGTATATAGGCCTTGTTGGACCGAAATATTCCTTTTCGTAAATTCCTTTTTTAATCCTACCATCTTTCCGCTTCTTACTTAATCTTTCATTCTCAAACATTACTACCACTACTATATTGTTTATGCTTTTTCAAATATTCAAAACAAGCTGAAAAGTTGCCAGAACGACGCCATAAACTTCACCTGATCATAATATCAAAATATGATTCCAAAATCATTTTGTTGCAGATTTTTATGGTTTCGTGTCCCTGTGTTTAAAAAAAAATCGTCCTAAATAATCCGCAGATTCGTTCCATCAAAAACTCGTTCTGAGAAGCACTTGTCATGCGTGCATTACAGCAAGACGCATTTTTTTTTATCACAGCTTATAAACACTTAGAATTTCAGTAAATGATAACCGTTATAGGTGGATGTTCTTGGTTGAATCAGCCGCTACAAGAAAATCATGATTTCGGTGTGCCACATTCTATGATACAATATTTTTTTTGCCTTTATTTTCACGGGTCTTGTTAAACTTTGCACTAATTCATTGTCCATAGAACTGCACCAAAGTAATAAAAGCAAAGCTGCCCTAAATAATCTAACAGAAGAAAAAGTTTGTTCACACTTTTCTGTATTTACTGCCCTCCAATTGTGAAGAGCTCAGTTTTGAAAGATGTAATACTTTGTTTACAGTTTTGTGTCTAGAAACATTACAAGTGAAGTTCTATGGCAAGTGTCAAGCTTGCCTTTTAAAATACTGTGCAGAGTAGCGAGAAAAATTTCACAATGAATACGTCTGAAAATACTAGAAGGAGAGGCGCAACTGCGACGTGTCGCCATGCACATATTTATACAAACGAAGTTAGAACAGGTTGATCACTGTGACACTTGCCGTTAATTTCGTAGAATGGTGGACAGCAGCTTGGCTGGCTACACTTCGCATCCATATCCGTCAAGCTGAAATAGTGGACCCTAGGAGCTCGCAAAATTTAGTGAAAATTGAAAGAGTGGCTTAGCCGTAATTTAAATAGAATTAAGCTGTTTTTATGCGTTTTTGCTGTGAAGCGCTATAGCAGCCCTATAGCGCTGCTACGGCCAGCAAAAACGCATATTGTCGAGAGGCTGTCTGTGTGTGTGCATGTGTTCGCAAAGCGGGTGCATTTTGTCACCCACTTTCAACTCGGCAACCAGGAAAGCTGGGGGGC